ATATATATATATATATATATCAACATATAATAATTATGATTACAAAACAAATAAAGCAAATAACGATTAAGATATAAAATATTAACAATTTTGTAAAGTTCAGAGTAAGGTCATAAATAAATAACGATTTTATAATTAAATACTCAAAAATGTTAAAATATCAAACAAAACCTCCGACAACTGAATAACTTTAAAGAAATGGCGTTGAATATTTATTTCTTAAACTAACACGTTACTTATAATTAAGATGAGTGTCTGTATCAGAAGATTGTAGAGAGAAAACGGAAAGAAAAGACAAAAAGAAGGATGGTGGTTTTCTATTTTATGACCCGGCAAAGAGAGAATTCATAAGATTGTTATCGACACTTCAACTTTACTAAGCTCACACCTACTTATTTTTAGTTATATTTTACCCACTTACCACTACTCCAAAACTATTTCCTTCTTTCATATAAACAACTTTAATTCCAAATACACCATATCTTCCTTAAAACACATAATAAACTATAATATCTATTTATTACATTTTAAGTATAATTTAAATTTAACTTTTTTCATTAATTTCACACATTTAATTATTTCATAATAGAAAATGAAGTTGCAATAAATAATTTTAAATAATAAAAACTGATTGTTTGTTTCTTGATAAAAACACATTTCCAAATATGGAAAAACATACACTCACATTAAAAAACTCGTTGGAAAAATATATTCAAACATGCTTTTTTTCAATAAAAAGTTTATTATACGCTCACATAAACCAAAGTAGATCTGTTGTCCCCTTCTCAGAACAATTTTTTTTTCAATCACGGACTACCCTCCATCTCTGACTTTATTACTTTATAATAATAATCATGATATTAGTATTTACTAATATCTTTTTTCTTTTGAAAACTAATTTTGTTTCGATTCTATTCTCACTTCTTTTTTATTTTCTCATCTACCCATTTCATTGTTTTTAGTTCTCCACCAATGTGGAAGAATGTCTTTTCACAGAACCATTTAATTGAATTAACAGAACCGTGTTCTCTCATTCATGAATTTGTAATACAAAATTTTGATGCATTAAGTTTGTAATGAGGCACTTTGAAACACTAATTAACGAAATCTCTTACATTGTTATTGATTGAGCTATGTAGTAATAATAAGAGGCAGTAATAATATCAGAATAATCCAGAATGATGATGAATATGCAAGATTCTTGATTTCCAAAAGAAGAACAGATTTTTTAGATCTTCTTTACAAAAGATACACAGCATAGTTCACAGGGCAATCTCATCTCATCTCAATTCAATAAATTTGGCATCTTTCTTCCTTACATAATTTTATTCACTGCTTATAACCACCAATCATCCACCATCCAATCACCTCTTACATTCACATACACAAACTATAGCAAGAATAACAATAATTCCAACATTTCACAAATCCAACCCAACAGATAAAGGACAAAAACAAAAGTCAACACCAACGATTTTTTATCATAAAATATTTTCAAGATCTCCTAATTTTCGATCCAAATGGAATTAAATTAAAAAAAATGGGTAAAAAAGAACCTGCATGCGATGAATGAGAAGGAAAAGTAAAGCCTGTGAAAGGGTGTTTGGGTCATTTCATCAGGTCATCGACTGCAGGGAAGGAAGGATATCGTGTGCAGCGTTGCGAGAGAAACACCCTGCAATCGTCTTTAGGGCATATGGTGGGTACGTACGCGATCTCATCGCAACCGTCCGTTCTGTCCCTCTTGAAATTGATCAACGTGGTGAACAACGCGATGAAGAGAACGAGATGATTCAATGCGTACCTTTGACCCACACACTGGTGGGGCCCCGCACCGAAGGCCAGAAAGTTTCTTTTAAATACTTGGTCCTCCTGTCTCTCCTCCGAGAACCGCTCCGGGTCGAACCGCTCCGGTTCACTGAACCCCTGAAACGACGACTCGAATGCCGACGGGAACACGATCGCCCCCTTCGGTATCGTGTACGACTCCGTCAGCGCGAACCTCTCCGCCGCGATATGCGGCACCAGCGTCGCCGGCGGCCGGAACCTCACTACCTCACGAGCCACCGCCTGCGTATACTTCATCTCCCGGAGCATCTCCGCGGTAATCAGCTCGTCCGACTCCGGCGACCAGACTCCTGCCACCTCTGCCCTAACCTTCGCCAGCACCTCCGGATGCGAATCCAGCAGTGCCACCGCCCACAGCAGCGACGAAGTGGACGCGTCCTGCGACGCAAAGAGAAAATCAAAGAGGTAACCACCAATCTCGGCGTCGGTGGAGAACGGTGCCGCCGGCTCTTCGGTGAGCTTGGCCTCCTCGATTTCCCTGAGCGTTTCCTGCATCCAGTAATCAATCAGACACGAAGGCTCTTCCCTTTTCTGCATCCTGGTTTTGCTCATCTCGGTGCAGGTGGCCAGCGTTTCGATGAGCCGGTCCACGGCGAGCCTCGCGTTTCGAAACGCGGTGCCGGGGAAATCAAACGGAAGCTTCATAAGGCCAACGTTGAATAGAAAGTAATCCCTCTCGAAGCGCTCTCTGGCTTTGAGGCCCAAGTAGGGGCCCACGAAGACGGTCTGGGAGGTGTCGAGATTCATGTCACGGGCCAGAATACGGAGCGGAATGGAATCGGTTTGGGCTTGAGCTTTGGCAACCCAGGACTTGAGGTGATCGAGGATGATAATCTGCTGGAGCGAGGTGTAGGTGGAGAGGGCTTTGGGGGTGAAGTTGGGGGCGATGCGACGGCGGAGATTCTTGTGTTCTTGACCCATCATGTAGATAAGGTTGTGTTCGCCGAATAGCTTCTTGCCGAAGGGGTGGCCCACCAGGTGGAAAGCGTTGGGCCTGACATTGGCGAAGACCTTGTGGGAGAGTTCGGTGTCTCTGATGAAAACGATGAAGTTGCCGATTATGTAGTTGGCGGAGAAGCCCAAAGGGGTGGACTTTGCCAGAGAGGACTGAAGGTCCCAGAAGTTGGTTGGATTGCGGACCAATGGGATTGCGTTTCCAAGGAAGGGGACGACGAAGGAGGGTCCTGGGATGGAAGCCTTCTTGGCAAGGTAGGAGATCTGTTCGAGGAGAATGAGGAGGAGGAGGAAGCATACGAGGTAGGAGGCTATGTCGGTGAGGGAGAAAGAGGATAAGAGAGGGGTCATGTTGGAGGTGATGATGTTGAGCGTGCAATGCCGAGGGATGAGATTTATTTATTTAGACTAAAAGTGAGAATGTGGGAAAAGGATGAAGAGGGAGAGAAGTAAAAAATGGTGAGATTTAATTTGAGGTCAAAATTAGAGTTTGAAGAAGGAAGAGAAGAGTGTTGTGTTGTGTTGTGAAGCAGTTGTTGTTTGAAGTAAGAAGGAAGAGGTGAAGAGAAATATAGAGAAAGAGAAGGATTGGGGAGAAGAAGAGGTGGGTCAATGGTGGGGCTGACATCCAGCTAGGTAAGGCCACCCTATGACGTGGGAAACATCGTTTACGACAACCAGCACACATTTTTCCCTTTTCATTTCAAATTTCACCTCTCTCTCTCTCTCTCTCTCCCCCTCCTCTGCCCTGCTCTCTCCTTCTCTTCCATTCCACACTTCACAAATTAACGTCTTTTTATGAATTTTAGATATCAAATAAAAACAAAAACCTTTTTATTAAAACTTCTTAACTTATAATCTAATACTTTATGAGTTTCTAGAGTTCCTCGCTCTGTATGTATACACACGTGTGTCCTTTGTTCTGAAGCTCTCGGTTGTTTTTGTTTCGTCACTACCGCTGTTACAATATCCAAATCATACCATATTTTATTATTCTCATCATTCACATAATTCTATTAATATTTATTTTAAAACTTTTCAAAAATACATTTCTTTATATTGGATTTATTTTTTTAATTTCGTTATTTTTTTGTCGGATTTCTACCAAATATTCTTCATCCAAGTAATATTTAACTTTATATTTAAATAAACTTAACCAATATACGAAGAGAAAAAATATTTTTATAACCATTTTCTTTAAGAAAACAGTAAAAGGTCATTTTGTAATTATATTTTGAAAACTGATCAAATAAAATATAGGTAATAATAAATTCAATGTGATTTTTTAAAAGATGTAAAACTATTAACACTCTGTATAAATTCTCCATTAATATATACATACCACACCACTGTACAAATCGATGGTAATATACATTTATTTTAACTTATAAATAAAATATATGCGAGGATCGAACCAACAGTTTAATCTGCCACGTCCTTGTTAAGGCGAAAAGAACATGTCATATTGCTCATTTAAACAAATAAATTAAAGTATGCCTATTGTTTTATAATTTTCCTTTTTTATCTAATTTTGTAATTTTTTAATTATTATAATATTTATAATCAAAAAAAGCTTCTAAAATAAAATTCCCATCTTAGTGAAAATATATTAACTTTAAATGTTACCCATTTAAATTTCATCAGCTAGTTTTCTAAGAAATATATTATTATGATAAAAAAAATAAAACCCTGCTCATTAAATGTATTATTAATTAATTTAATATAATTATACCGAAAATTCAAAAACATTTAACATACCGTTTAAATGGAATAGATTATGTTACCGCTATGATAATGATGTGATGTTTAGATAAATTCGTATTAAATGTGTAAATAAAAAAAATTAAACATACAAAAATTGAAATCCTTCGTTCATATTCTCTGTCTCAACTCAACGTTGAAATACAGGTAATTAAAAAAACTCAACTAAAACTAAATATAAAAATCATGACAAGGAGATTAAAAACCAAATAAGGGAAAGCCAACATCTTGCTAAGGCAACTTAAGAGATTGAAAAATAACTTTTTAAACTTAATGTATTTCAATAATCACTAATTTGAATTAAAAACATGTTTTCAAATATTTAAAATTAATTTTTTAACTAATTGACAAACGCATTTTACTTGTGTTTTGTAATATTTAAATATGCTTATCACGTGCATTTTTATCATTAGTGTCATGAGATTTGATTATGATATATTAACAATTTTTTTAATAATTTTTTTATAATAAACTATTTATAAATATTTTATTAGTTTATATATTTGAAACGATCAATCACTTATACATGGATGTAAAAACAATAATTAAAAGATATTTTCGTTGAAATTTTATTACTATCTCCAAATATCTAAACGGCCATTGGTGTGTTTAGGTGATTACATCCACAAATTCCACGATATCATTTCTGTCTATTTCCAATCGAAGATTTGGACTTCACAAGTAAAGAACAAAATTTGAAGAAAAAATAAAGCAAAAAACTAAGTATATTTTTTATACTATTTAAATTTAAAAAAAAAAAAAACGAGTCTTCTGCATTTTTTATTATTCAAATAATTGAGTTAAGGGTTATACCCTTAAATTTGACATAATTCACAATGTTTTACAAGGGTTATAAATTATAAGGAGAATGCTAAACCAATACTCTAAAACACTGTTTAGGATATAATTAATAATACTTTATTTCATCACATTTATATTGAAATATAGAATAAATAACTTTATTGATTAAAATAATGTAAATTTCAATTTCAAAAATTATTCATGCATTTTTTAATTATTTTAAAAACAAAAATGTTTATAAGTGTAATACAACTATTATTGATAATTTATTTGATACATATAAAAAATAATAATATAATTTTATCGTTGTTTTATTTTTCTTTTTTTTTCTAATAGTTTTTCTTTCATTTTAATATTGTTAAAATTAAAATATAATTAAACTTTAAAGAAAACTTAAATTAACATAAAAAGAACAAACTGAAAAATAAAATAAACAACATCATTGTATCAGCTAATAAAAGGTTAAACTTCTAAATTATTTTGTTATTCAATTATTTTTTAACTTTTTTTATGTATATCAAATAAATTATTAATTAAATGTATGTTACTTATGATATATTTATCTTTTAAATAAAATAAAACCGCATTAATAATTATTGAAATAAGAAAATTATATCATTTTAATTAATGAAATTAACTATTTTATACTTTAATATAAATGTAATGAAATTAATATTTATTAATTATACCTTAAATAATGTATAATTGTGAACTGTAATTAATAAAGTTTCTTCTGTTGCCCGGCTGACATTATTGAATTAACGGCAAAGGGACTTTTTGGAATTTCTTCATTGCACTTGATCTCCATGGGAATTGGGAATATTTTCAGTCAAATTCTAGGGCTACCTTGTTCAGTCTCCATTTTACGTTTCAAAGCTGAAAGACTTAGAATTCCAATGGTTCTGATCATGACGAACCGTTGCTAATGAGGAGAGAACCGTAAGCAAAAGTGGCTTGACAATTTGATGCCTTTCTCATGTATCATATTTGACAATTAAAACACCCTTTTATATTTTCACAAGTTAAAGTTTTTCCATATCAACAAAATAAAGAAATTATTTATTCAGGAATTTCTGAGCCAACTATATAAGTGATTGACACCACTCTTTATCCAAAACCTTAAGACGATAGGTTACTGGGTTTTTCACCTTTATATATTACTCTATTTTTTCATTTTTATCTAATGAGATTTAGACTCACACTTAGATTCTCAACAGAATTTACTTTTCACACAATATTTTACTTATTTCTTTCCTTGTTTATAGATTTAAACATTGTTGTTTACAATGTTTTTACTTTAACTATTGGGTGATTAAGTTACAATACAAAATTTAATGTTTAAATGAAAATGGAAATTTTTAGGTTATGTATAATTTTTTAAACAATTATGCACAGCTAATTTTGGGATGGCATAAATAATAAATAAAACTAAATTATTTACGTGCATCACTTTTAATAATGTCTTCTGTACTTGTAGGACTGAAACATTTCCATATAATCATAGTCTTTATCTATTGAAATTAATTTCTTTATAATTGAAATCTGTTGATTTTTAACTTATGGAGATGTATAAGGGATGAGGTATTTACAGAGATAGTCCAACTTCAAAACAACAATATACATCATATAAACTTACGTAGTAAAAATATAATAATTAATTAATAATATGTACTTGTAAATAGTATTCTATTTATAGTATTTTAAGAGAATTTTATAAACTTTTAAGCTAAACTTACCGTGTGTTAATACCTTATTAATACATTTAATCTTATTTTAACACAGTAATCCTGTTTAAAAAGTTATTCCGAGATTATATCATTTTACATAAATGATATCATCTTTATCTTGTACAAATAAGCGCCTCTCCAAACTTGAGACTAGACCGAAAATCTATGTTTTGAAAAATAAAATTTCCATTTCTTTAATTTAAGATGGTTTTAATCTATCTGATTATCCTATATATTTTTAATATAATTGAGATTATATCATGTTATAAAACATATAACTTTTTTTTTTCGTTATAAGTCATGGAGTACTAATTTAAAACAATTTTAGATTTTGATTAATCATACATAACTATAACAGAAGTTTTTAATAATAATAATTGATGAGTTATATATATATATATATATATATATATATATATATATATATATATATATATATATATATATATATATATATATATATATATATATATATATATATAAAATTAAAACTTTAAAATAATAAATATTTTTTATTTATATGTTGTTATTTTATTCATCTTTATAAAATATAAAATTTTCACCTTATCTTAAATTCTTAATAAGTTAATAATTGTTAATTGACAATATAATCAATAAATTCATTTTAAAATACTATAAAAAGACTCTATTAATTAGACATGATTGTGGTAATTGTGATATAAATCACTCTCTTTGTCTTGTAAGTTATGTTAGTGTTTACCGAAACTAATAATAACAAGTAGAAAAACTACAAAATTTTGATATTGCTAAAAAAAAAGGGGGAATAATAATAACTTTTACATGAATCAAAATATTGATCAAGACTTTTTGTAATATTATTTCTTTATTCTGTCGAACACTTTTTTATACCATAAATTTTACAAATAAAAAGTTATTGTAATAGATTATCATATTAACAACAAATAAAATGATATTATGAATAAGTTAATTTTATATAATTTTGCTACAAACATCCACTCAACATCGCGATCATCTCATAAGATATTTATTACACTTACATGCATAAATGATAAATCAAACATGAATCTAAATACAATAAATGAATATTCATTAAGAAGTATCTAAAATATTCGTATAAAATATTCCTTAAAACAGACCAACCCTTAATATATTTTAGGACTTTTGATAAACATATCTTAACTACATCAAACAATATGACTTTAAAGTATATATTTATTAATTTATTTTTTAGTTTTTTATTTGAAATTTGTTTCACTTTTTTATTTTCTCTTTCTTACATTCAACAAGAATAAAAATATTACTTCAAATAAAAGTGTACTCAATTATTTAAATTTATTCACTGTAATTATTTCAATGTGTTTTTTTCTCAGTACTAACTAAAATATAAATATAGTTGTAAATTCTTTTATCTTTAAATAAACAAAAAATATCAAACCTTAACTTTTTTTTTTCTCAAATATAAATATTTGTACCATCTTAAAAATAT